ATTAATACACATAGTCAATCAATAATAATGTAACTGTTCAGAGGGGGTTTGCCACTGCCTCCCCTGAGGCTGAGAGAGTGTGACTTGCCCCAAGGTCACCCCAGTGGCTTTCCATGGCTGAAGAGGGAGGCCCTAAAAGTCAGAAATGACTTAAAGGCACACAACAAGAACAACAATCACGAGGAGGGACGACAAAACCCCATCTATCTATCCATTCATTCATTCATTCATTCATTCAACCTTTCATTGGGACTTCTATTCTTCCTTCCATAGCCAATAAAGACCGGGCAAAAGTGAGGGCATGCGTGCGTCCTTTGGCTTCACCCACTTCCCGGATGTGTGCGCTTTCCTTGTCCCGGCAGGCGGCGGTGCTCGGCCCTTTGGTTCCGGTTTCCCGCAGAGCCTGGGGCTGCGGCGGGGCCCTCTTTGCCGGGAAGGCCGCGAGCGCAGGAACCGCCTCGAGTAATACGCAGGTAGTAGCGCGGCGTTCCTTGGGCGAGTCACACTCTCTCAGCCTCAGGGGAAGGCCACGGCCAAGCCCCCCTGAACAAATCTTGCCAGAACAAACCCCCATGATAGGGTCGGCATAAGTCAGAAATGGGGTTGGAAGGCACACAACAGCGACAAGTGGTGGCTTGAGCCTTGGACCACTAGGACGCCTGAGACCAGGGTTCGAATCCTGGCTCGGCCGTGGAAGCGCGTTGGGTGACCTTGGGCAGGTCACACTCTCTCAGCCTCAGAGGATGGGAAGGGCAAACGTTTTTCTCTTTGAAGAGACTTGCCAAGGAAACCTCATGAAAGGTTTGCCTCAGGGTCGGCCCATAAGTCGGAAAGGACTTGAAGGCACACAACAACAACAACAATAACAACACAGTAATAGTAGTAGTAGCATTAAGTGCCGCCATTTTCTGACCAGAAAGGCTGAGGGGAGTCGCACTTCTGGGCATAAAAGACTCTGGGGGACTTTGGTTGAAGTGGCAGGAAAGGAAAGGAAAGGAAAGGGGAGAAACAGCCCCAGGGCATCGAAGTGTTTAGTAAGGTCCAAAACATACTTCAGAAATAATCCAGTTTGAGACCGCTTTAACTGCCCTG